CTTGCATTTCGTTCGTCAGCTCGCACCCAAAAAGGAGCGCATGGTCCAACGTCGGCAGCAAGGACTTACTCGCACAGAATGCTCGGGAGGGCTCACCTTCTCCCTGGATGTTGCAAAAGCCTTTGACACCATTCCTAGATGGGTCATTCAAGCTGCTTGCGTTGATGCGGGTATCCCACAGCACATATTACAGCACATCGATGCAGTTCATGCTTATCTCCGAGTTGGCATTAATCACTTTGGGCACCATGGCTCTTGCCGCACAAGCCGCGGCATTCGACAAGGATGTAATCTCGCACCTTCATTATGGTGTCTCGCCACGGCCTTTGTCTATAAGCAATTGCTTAAAGCACTGGGGCCCAATGCGGCTGAGATTCTCACGCTTTTCGCCGATGATGTCATTGCCCAATGGAAAATCAATGATTTGGCCGAGCTGAGGCAGACAATGAGCCAGCTCACGATCTTGATCGCCACACTGAGGCACTTCGGCATGGACGTCAGCGCACAAAAGAGTGTCATTTTATACTCCTTGCATGGGCGCAAGGCCGAAAAATTCCTGTGCAATGCCCGCTTCAAACGTGCTGACAAGTGGCACATGCGCGTCAGCCCGGACCTTGACTTCCCAATCGTCCGCCAGCATAAGTACCTAGGGGTTATAATCTCTTATGGCAGCTTTGAAGCCCATACCCTGGAACATCGCACCCACTGCGCCTCCACAGCTTTTTCCAGGCTGCGACACATCCTATGCACCAAGAATGTCTTATCGACGATCAAGAGGGTGCAACTCTGGAAGGCCATCATTTGGCCCACACTTAAGTATGGACTTACGTCTCTCCTTCTGTCTGTCCATGAACAGATCCAAGTGGTTGGATACGTTGCCAGACAACTTCGAGCGATCACCGGGCAGCTGGCCCATCACACGCATGAAACCACTAGGGATTTTCTTGAAAAATGGAAATTTCAGCCGCTGTGCATCCTTTCGGCCGAGGTTGGGACCAACTACCGGCGGTACGAGGCACAGGCCGATCTGCACATCACCCGCGTCACACAGTGGCATGCCCTTCTTTCATCCACCTATGCCACAGGGTTGGGCTCCACCCAGGACCGTGCACAACTTACACCTGTCGATGCTGTGATCTCCCGCACATACCAATGCCCAGATTGCCCCTCGTGCTTCGCCACTGCAGGCCTGCTGCAAGTACATAGGGTCAAAAGCCATGGCCAAGCCAAGATCCTTGAAAAGCGGAAACAGGCACAAATGCAGAATCAAGTCGAGCATGCGCTGCATGGAGTGCCCACATGCAAGCATTGCCTGCATGAGTTTAATGGTTGGCGCAACTTCAACTCTCATATCCTGCTTGGTAACTGCCCTGTCCTGACTGCAGCCACAACCACACAGGCCAACATTGACACCGCTGTGCCTCCGACTGCATCGAATGAGCCGGCGCCGAATACGGATGCCAACACCTCCGAGTTGGGTGACCATTCCCCTGTATCCACTTTTGTGCAGACGATCTCACAGGAAAGCTCCTACACAGCACTTGCTGTCACCACAGGTCCAGAATGGAGACGGGTAGTCGGAGTAGGCCAACTTCATGCTAGGATGAAAAACTTTTGTCCTGAGTGCGGGCTTTATGCAGCAAATCCGTCGCGCATCAAGGTACATATGCGTGCCAAACATAAGGACTGTCTTGATCGGCTCGAGCATTCGGAAGTGCTTGCCTCCTGTATTCGAACGCGAAAGCCCTGCGTGTACTGTGGTCAGCACATACCTAAGTCCACCTTTGAGGGCACGCATGCAACTGGCTGCTATGTGCTGTGGCAATCTATGTATGCCATGCTGCAATCTGGCCTGACACCCTCAGGTCTCGACTATGTCAGCAAACGCTACCGAGATTCCAGATGGGGAAGAGCTGAACCTCTTCAAGAGATTCATGCCCAGCCAGCAGGCGGAGAAGGAGCAGGAGGATGCCCCGGAAAGGGCTTCGAAGCAGCAGCGCACCAAGGAGATAGTGCAAAAGGGGGGGAGCGGACGCCACGGCAAGGGCAAGGGATCCAGTCGGGGCCCTCAGCAGCCAGCCTTTCGTTCCAGGCGCTCTTCGGACAAGCAGCAGGGCCTCAGCGATCAAAACCTGTTCCTTCTTTGTCAGATGCTGATCCGCCTTGTGCTGCGCCAGGGAGATGCACTGAGGATCTTGGCTCTCGACACCTCACTGGTCCTGTGGCTCCGGACTGGACTTCCAGCGGGAGTCCCGGAAGCGATGTTCACGGCTGCCCAGAAGTGGAAGGAGCTTCGGGAGGCAGGAGAGGTGAAGGCCCCACTGCGACACATCCTGTGGCTGTGCCTCCTCACAGAGCTCGAAGCCAGGACAAACCCGGCCAAGCTCACGGAGGAAACCAAGACTCACTTAACGAAAATGGGCTTCATCAAGGACGGACAGTGGCTCTACTTGAAGTGGTCCTTCGAGGAGAACAAGCTGCTTACGGACCCTGCCCGGAGCCCCATCTCCCTCGAGGACGCCCATCAGCAAGTGAAAGACCTCCTGCGAATGTCCCAGGATCCCCAGGTCATCACCAGGTTCCATCCGACTCGCCCGTTGGCACCAGAGCTCAAGAGTCCCACCGTCACGTTCATGCTGTCCATTGCCCTTCGGTCGGAGCAGGCAAACGAGCTTCACTCCAACCTCCTGCGACTAGCGGGGAACGCGTGCACTCAGGTAGTGGGCATGACACATCGCCAGGAACGTCTCAGTCGATCCAACCTCGAGAAGCAGCTCTCCAAGTACCTTCAGACAGGAGATCTTGCCCCACTGGAGGAGGGCAGTCGACCATCGATCACCCAGATGCAGGCCGGATTCACGCCTCACCCACCAGCCATACCGCCACACCTCCACACTTGTCGCCTTTGCATGGCATGGACCAGCAACACATTCTCCGTGCAAAGCTTGTCAACAGTGGTAACACATGTTATACCAATGCAATCATACTTGCCCTTCTTTGGACTGCATGCCGTTCGGGTCAACCCTCACTGCCCGCAGGACTGATGAGGACACTAAGTTCGGCCCTCAAAGAACGCAAGCCTTTGAATGTATGGCAGCTTTTGTGGTGGCGCAACCTCATGCGACAATGGAGCGAGCCCAACAGGCAGCATGATGCTGCCGAACTCATTGCGTTCCTCCAGGACAAAGGGTTTGCCGAATACTACGAGGGCCACTGGCAGCGACGAGTTCTTGCTGAGGGACGTATCAGCATTGAGGAGGCTGGCAGCACAATGCCACTTCTTCTATCGGTTCCCCTCTCAGCTCATTGCACACCTCAAGCCCTGTTGGATCAATGGCATGCTCAGGCCGGATTTGCGGGATTGCTGACAGCGCCATCGCACCTTATTGTGCAGCTCAATCGTTTTGGCGTTGAAGAAGAGTCATTGCAAAAAAGTAGTTGCCCTGTTGATATCACCAGCACGTTAAGCGTCCCGGTGTTCGACGTTGACCTCGTGACCACCAGACAGCTGTACAGACTTCATGCCTGCATTGTTCATCTTGGTCCACACCCCACTTCCGGGCACTACAGAGCTGTTCTTATGAGTGAAGACAGACGATATTACACGGACGATCATACCACTGCAAAACCTCTTCTTCAGAAGGATGCTGTACAGCTTTCACTCAATGTGTACATCCTGATATATTCCAAGGCCTGCTTCACAGATGCGTCTAGCTGAGTTACGGCCCTGCATGCACATGTGGCTTTTGGATTGGGACGCCTTTCCTCTTGCCGTTTACATGTCGCATGTCACTGTCGCGCGCTGACGAGCGAAAGTGCAGTGCTTTGGGTGTCGGACTCCTTTCTTTTCACTCGTTTTCCGTGGTTGGCCTGCTTGGGCATTCGTGCCGGGGCCACAAGTCTTTTGTAGTTAGGAGCTTAGCTCGCTGCTCTCATGCAGCCGGACCACAGTGTCTGCTTCGGACTCGCTAGGTGCCAGACATGGCATTGCGCTGCAAAGCAAAAAAGCTTCATTCAGCATGAAGTTCAGTCGGGATCCATTGTGGTCAAGCCCGTCAGAGGCAAGGACAATCCCGCCGACATCTTCACAAAGAGTTTAGATGGTCCCACTACACTTCGGCACATGGCCAGCTTGGGGCTCGAGGAAGTCCAGCTGAGAAAAGGGTCTGCGTGTGCTGTGGGTCTTCTGAAGGGTGTTGTGTCGAAAGGGGAGTGGGTATCCTTGGCTGAGAGGGTAGGGCTTAAGAAGGGCCACAAGTGGCTTCTGATCGAGTTCTGTGCCCTTCTCGACGCCAACATGCACCGGGTTGCGAAAGAGGAGTTTCCGAATGTTTGTGTCCTTACCGTTACCGAGAGGGATGACGGGAGGAGACCGGAGACGGTCACTGCGATCAAGGGTGTTATCGCATCCGCCTTGGAACGCGGGGTCTGCATCTTCTTATGGTCCTCGACCCCATGCACGGGGTGGTGCCCGTATCAGCGGATGCATCTCCAGAAACAGGGTTCCACCTACAAGGGTCATTTAAACGGCCTGTGGGACTGCCACAAGCGTCTGTGGAGTAACTTTGTCAGCCTGACGAAGTACACACACGGCTGGGCCATCGAGTGGCCAGCCCGCTGCGCTTACTGGTCCCAGACCCAGAGCTTTCTCCGAACCTCGCGAGCGACCTTGTACGACTGTCGTGTGGACGCTTGTGCTGCGGGGCTGAGAGGAAATGACGGGGAACTTGTGTCGAAGCGTTGGAGAGTGGTGACTACGCATGCAGGGTTGCCGAGGGTCTTGAAGGGCTGAAATGCGACCATGCGCATCCGCATTCCAAGGTCTTTGTTCTCAAAGAGACGCAACATTATCCTGAAGCTATGTGTAGGGTTGTTTTGAGCAGCTTGTAAAGGTCGTCTGCTCTGCAGCCGTTTTGCTTTTCTGAGCCAAGGGTTTAGGGTGGAACGCCAAGACCATGAGTTTACCTCGGGTCTCGCTTACACTAGGGTTTTCAGAGGCCATGGACTATGCTGTGGTCCTCTTCCAGCGGTTGGGCAACGAACTACTCGAGCCACAGCTGCTTTGTCTTTTCGTCTTAGCTGCAGGGATGGTTGTTGGCCACTTCCTTACGTATGCCTACTACCGCCTTGTGGTGAGACAGCTCCGGGAGCTGAAGGGTGCACCGCCGACGGACATCTATGTCACCCGGCATGGTCAGTGTTACCACAGCGATGCTTTCTGTCCGTCACTTCGCAACAGCCAGCCTACGGGCAAGCGCAAGTGCCATCTTTGCTACCCCTACACGTCGACGGGGCCGTGACAGCCTCAATGCCCAGAGGGGGAGTAAGAGACCAAAGGTTCTATGTGGGCCTTGGGCTGCCAGCGTCTTTTAAGTTTTTTTCCCAGAGGACTCGCTTGCGAAGTGGTGTAGAGAGTAGGTCTCCTCAGCTTTTAGAGCTTAGGGAGTGTTTTCCAGTGTCTTCCCGGAGCACAGAGTAGGTCGCCTCAGCTTTTAGAGCCTAGGGAGTGTTTTCCAGTGTTTTCCCGAAGCACCGTGAGGTTTGACCAGTTTTGACTGCGTGGCTCAAGACCGGAGTATGCGAGCATGCAAAAGTGAGAAGCGTGCAGGGCTTGAGTGTGAGTCTTGTAGGGCTGTGGGTTGCTTGCCGCGTTTCGGCCTTTTACGGAAAACAAGTGACCAGAGCTGGTGTCGTTTGTGTTGGCAGGCGGAGCACTTGGGGGGTCTCCCCAGCTCGCTGACGCCGTGGTGGATCTCTGCCGTGACGCCCTCATCCAACTCTCAAGCCCGAAGCTGTCGCCCTGGATCCCAGCAGAGACTGACGTCGGCCAGTGTTGGAATCACTGCGTTGTGAATATCATCGTTGTTGTCAGAGGGTCGACAGACGTCAGAAGACTCAGAAGACGATCTGACGCATTTGCAGGGGGCCTACCAAAAAAACCTAAAACCCTAAACCCTAAACCCCACTTTAGTGTGTGCCGCGGCTGCCTCAGCATCTGCGTGCCCTTTTTTTGGCTAGGAGAGTGCCAGGATAAGCGAATCGGCTGGACACCGTACTGGGGGGAGGGGGGCCCACCCTCTCCCCTCCGCGTGCATTCATGCCCCGTGAGAAGTACAACTCAAGCCCGAAGCTGTCGCCCTGAATCCCACGCTTGGACGCTAGCAAAACTAAAGACACAGCTCTGGGTCAGCTCCCACTCACTCACTCACTCACTCACTCACACACTTATTCACTCACTTACGCACTCACTTAATCATATTCACTTATACACTCTTAGCGAAAAGAATAACTTTGCATGTGGGGTTATCCGGTCCTTTAATTTGTTTTCAATGGTATGAGAGGCCAGGGGAAAGTCAAAGACTTTACCACGGCTGGGGAAGAACACGCCGGGAAGCGATCTGTCGATGCAAAGATGCCTTGACAGTTTCAATAATGCCCTCAAGGTCGGCATGAGTCTTCTCTTCAAAAAGCACGGTCCGGACTCCTCCTCGCCCTACTCAAGGGAGGTCCATCGGCTGTTCCTGGTTTCGCTTTCGGACGGTTCTTGGAGGCGTCAGAAGGCCTTGGGAATTTGCAGAAAGCAGAAATTGCGTGGCTGGAACGAAAAGGTAACCAGTTCAGCGAAAAAGAAGTTATTGAAAATCAACGCTCATCGCCCAAGGCGATAGTGCGAGCAGCCGAAGAGATGCGACGCGCGTGATTCTGACTTTGTGTCGTTGTTCATTCAGATTTCCAGCTGTCCCAACTTTGTTAGCATCCATGTTTGCGAATTTGTTTCAGATTCCCGATGTAGTGCTCAGTCTCACCGGTGTCGCAGTCAGCCCTTGCGAAATGGCAAGGTGGTGCATAGTGAAACAGGCCAGAAGCACGCGACCAACTGGAACAAAACGAGTAGCTGTGCTGGGTTTAGACAGGTTGGTATGTGGTATGTGGATTGCCTCGGATTGTTATCATGTTTGTCCTTGTTGCGTTTTTCTCTGTGTTTGCCATATTCGATATGGGGCCACGTTGTGGGCTCAAAACGTTTGTTCGTTCGTGGAACGGGGATGAAAAGCGGCAGCTGATCATCGATCTGGGGATATCAATAGTGCAAGAAATAGTTTGAACCAATTAACAAGTTTCCTTTACACTTCATTTTCATTCGAAGAGATGTTGTTCATGTTCCAAAGTTCACAAACGAGTCAATTCAAATCATTGGCAAAAAATCATTCTGGTGGCAAAGGGGTTTCGCTACTAACCAGAGCAGAAATTCTTTCAGGTTCACAAAATGTTCATAGTTTTTGCGCAAAATAGATGGAAAACTTTTCAGTTTCGCCTATATTCACTGGGGCATCTGCAGTTGCCGAAATTAGGGCAAAGATGTGTCATAGATATCATGGGCTTATGTTCATGTGCAAATGCAGCAAGACGGCTACATGAAATAGACGCCAGTTATTGACGAGCCTTCGAAGCCCAAGCTAGCTTCCGAGTCTCTTGAATTTTCCCCACCCCGCGGGAACTCCAGCCTACTTGTCTCTGGATGTTTTTTGATTTTTTTGTATTATCGGGACCCACGGGATTTCCGGCCTAATTTTCTCGATGTTTTTTTCCCGAATTCTTTGTGATTTTTTCGGTCTATTTTTCATGTTCTTCGCAATTTTTTGTCATGTTCCCCGGAAATTCCAGCCTACTTTGTTTTCGGTTTTTTGATTTGGAGGTCATCATCTGTCTCATGCGGAATGAATACGTATCATAAGCCTACCAAGAGATTGACGAACTTTGCAAAGTTGAAAATGCCTCGAATCTTGGACAAGAATACCACCGCTCAGAGTTCCACCTCGGCTTGGCTCTGTGCCAAAGCGGTTCCCCATCCGCCTGTTCTCGGCTCTTAGCTTCGAAGGCTTTAAAGGTTTTCAGGTCTGTTGGCCTTGGCGTTTAGAAGACCCTAGACACCTAGCATCGCCGAGACGGCAAATGCACGCCAGGGGCTCCTTCCTTCTAAATCCGCTCTGTCGCAATGGCGAAAATCTCCTATCAATGTCGGCAGCGCTCATCCAAAATACAGCAGACGATGCTGAAAACCCAGGCTAGCCAAAACCTAGGAAACCGCTGGGGGAAATTCTGGGGCATGCTGATGTATGGCCCATGTGGCCCTCGTTTCCTTGCGGCGGACAAACTCGTTGGCGAGACCGCACTGAGGAGGGTTCTCGAGCCGGCACCGGCTTTTGGGGCTGCGAGGCGGGTGAAGTCGCTTCACAGAATTCAGCATGCAGTTTTGGGACGCTGTGCGAGAGCGGCGCTGGAGCCGCATGAACGTCAGAAACGTATATAAACTCATCGGCATTTTCTCGGATGCCTCATGTTGTATAAAGCCGGTAGCGGCAAAACATGCTTTTTTGGCAATGCAGAAATTTTTGCTTCCTGTGATCTGACATAGCCATGAAAACCGTCGGTGCCGTCGATAGTTTTGGTTGGCTTGGTGCCCACGTTGTTTTGCCATGTGCTTGAAGGGCTCGAAACGGCAGACCTAACTTCCAAAGGTAGTCAGGTTGCTTGCCACTTGAATGCATCTATTTTCTGCGTGTGACAAAGAGAGACGTGTTGGGTGAAGACCTTGAGCTGCTTTGATGACGGTTGCCTTAGGCGACAACCATTCATGTTTTGGATCCTCAGGAACCTCAGGAAAGCATGATCACCACCAAGTGGGTCGTGTACCTTGGTTGGGAAAGTTCATTCGAGGGCGCATCCGGATGCCACGTGTGCTTAGCTTCAACTATGACCCTTTGGCATGGAAGACATGGGATGAAATTGACAAGATTGCCCAACTGCACTTCAGGCCCCGGGGAAGAACCCCTCCAACTTTACTCCGAAATTCTTTGTGCAGCTGGGCCCTTCGGACTGCGATGCCGCTTTCGCAGACTGAGACTCTGTTTCCTGAGAGGATATCCTTGTGGTGGCTTTGTTTACGTCCGTTGAATGCCGTCGAGCTTGCGATTGTTCGCCCTTTTGCCACTGATGCCGAGGCCTGGGCACCGTTGTGTTGTTGATTTCAAGTGTTAAGGTATGGTGACCGAGGTTTTCAAATGGCTGTGTGGGGAGCAAAGGCTGCAAATGATGCCCTTGATTTTGTTTTGACACGCTGATGTCATGGAGCTGACAGCTTAGCTCGGGGAAGGCCCATGCTCATGTTGGCTTGCTTGTTCGCTCATGGCGTGTGGAAGCTGTTTGGCTTCGCGGTGAGTTTTCAGGTCGAAACACCTTTCATGAGTCCAGGATCCGTTTCTGCTTGAACCGCGATTGGAAGCAAAGAAGATCTTCGCAGGCTGAGGAAACACCATAAGCAAATACAATGAGGGTCTGAAACATCGTGGACATTCATTTGCCGCGCCCAAAGCCTAAACCCCCCGTAAACCCCCAGGATTTTCGAACCCTAAACGCGAAACCCTGAACCCTAAACCCTAAACCCTAAACCCTAAACCCTAAACCCTAAACCCTAAACCCTAAACCCTACACCCTAAACCGACCTGTTGAAAGGCCAGCTCCATGCAGGAGGTGTTTGCCTTGTGGGGCAAGGCTTGGGCAGTGTTATCTCGGAATGCTAAGCTTCTTTTGGGGTTCTCGAGATCGGGACTCACGGTGTTTGTAGTTCGACCCAACCTGGGTTCAGGTGTGGACATGCTGAGACTCTAGGCCCAAGCGGCTTATTGTAAGAAAGAAGGATGTTGGGACGCGCGGCTTCGGAAGTTGTTGAGAACCAGGCAGGTCTTCGCGACAGCCCGGTGCAGTTGAAAGCGTTGTTGGAAGTCAGTGCCCGAACCCCGATAGAGAGACTATTTTGTTCAACATCTCTCTTAGGGCTACGCGAAGGGCGGCTGACTATTGAGGGAGTAGTTGGCCGACATCCGGGCCCGACAAGTGAACCCATCAAGTCATCCCATGCGACCGCACGCCGCACCAAGATTATCCCGACAGATTGATACCGCACGTACCATACCGTTGCCACACCGTCACACCAGTGCCATGAGCTTGCTGCTTTGAAGCTTAGAATTGGATTCCCGTGCTCCCCAACTTTCGAAGAGCACGCGGGTTGCTTGTGCAGGTGCCTCCCTGCGCCGTGGCGCCTTTGAATGCTGACGTAGATCTCATCCTGATGTATAGCATGCACTTTGAGGCCACTGATTTGTGGGGTTGATGGGGGGATGCCGAGGATGCTATGCTTTGGGATGTTCCCCCTTATACCAACAGTCCTTAGTAGGGATGATAATTGGGGGGTACTATAATGCCTATTCAGGACTGTCAGAAAAAGTATACTATCTACATGGGGTCTGCGGACGCTTTTGGCCAGACGAATCCAGCGGCTTTGGCCGCTGCAACGGAGCTTGAGAATGGCTTCGCGAGCCCTGGCGGCCTTTCAGCTTTGGAAGCCTCAAAGAAGCCCCTAGACGAGGACCCCCCCCTTGAGTTTTCTCCGAAGCCCTCTCAGAAGCCTTCTCTTAAGCCCCCTCTCCCCTAAGCCTTCCTGAGCCCTCCCATCCTAACCGGCTTCCTGCTCTTTGAGGAATGGGACCTACGCTTGGGCCCAGTGTTTTCGGAGCTTGACGATCCACCAGGCGAACTTGACCTCCTACGAAGACATCTATGCCGCTGGCAAGCACGCATGCTCGGTGCAGAGACGCAACACGGGCTTTGAGTGCGGGTTGCGGGCTCCACATCCTAAGACCTGAGCTTGTTTGATCCCAGGATGCGAGAGGCTACGAGGTTCGGCGAGATTGGGTCAATGGACCCAACTTGGTGTTTCGGGCAGTGCTCAAGAACTTCATGGAATCTGGGCTTGTGTTACCCGGAGTCGGGAGAATGTTGTCAAGAGTCTGTGGTTGCCGGGTCTTTTCGGGGGTGTTGCAGGTCACCGTAACCCTCAGAGCTTTGAGGTCCTTGGCCAGTTCTTGTGAAGAGCTGCAGGGGGGCTCGAAACCCCCAAGCCCCGAAGGATGGGACCTTCGGCAATTACAGCCACTTCTACTACATGGAGTTCGATGCTGCACCCAGATCTTGAAAGCAAGCACGCAGGCTTTGTTTTGATCAGCATAAGAACCTTGTACGACATCCAGGCCCTTCCGAGACCGAGACAGGCTTAGCAGGCGACATCAGGCGACAATGGGCACAGCGTTACTCACGAGACTCCAAAGTGTGATGATGCCTGTGCGGAGCCGCCAGCTGACCAGACCACCCTCCTCCAAACACGAAGCCCCTCGCAGTAACATTTAGTGGGACCTTATAAAAGCAGCCATGGCCGCAGTATCTTAGGGGACATTGTTGCACGGGGTGATCAAATGTTATGGTTACATCAAGGGCATGAATGATCTTGGTTCAAGCTTTCGTTTGCAAGGTGCCTGTCCGTGAAATGTGGATGGACCAGTTTGTGACCGAGGTGCAGGGCCCGGGGGTGGGTGGGTGTAATCCTGCCTTTCTTGGGCCGCCTTGCAATGGGCTCTTTTGTAACTCTAAACCCTGAACCCTCAGGCACTAAGTTAGAAAACGCCCTTGATACGCGGAAAGCAAACGCTCCTCTCTCATCAAGGCCTTGTTCTACCCAGAGGCTGCAATCCGGGGCAGCCATTTTCGCGGAGAGCTCGGGGGAGGGCTTAGGGTTTAGGGTTCACGGTTGAGGGCTCAGGGTTTTTAGGGGTCTGGGATATATACCTGTGAAGTACATAAACGCTCTTTACCCCAAATGATGCCTGGATTGCCTGATGTGCTCGTAGAAAAACATTAACATTCGTATGTGGGACTTCTTCATGACAACAAGCAAGTTGGGATCGTTGTCTTGTTGGTTAATGTTGTGTCTGTCTGGCTGTGGCGTCCTGTGGGTTCAGTAAAGAAGTTTTGGTTGTTTACTCGAGAACCCTAAAACGTAGGAAGATGTTTGAAAGCGGTATTGTAGGGTAGCAGAAGGAATTCAGCCACTGCGATAGAGTGGAATCGCAGTCTAATTACCCTTCAGTTACAATTTGAATGTCTCTGGGTAGCATTTTCTTGGAATTCGAGACATAGGATACGAATGAGAATCCACAAAATTTGCAGTTGTAATCGTACTTTCACAAGTATTGGTAGAGGCTAGTCGCAGTCTATGTTTATCTGTAGCTGCAGCTTGAGACAAGAGGTGTAATTACAAAATAGAAAATAATGCAAGACTATCCTAACATGCTAATTTACGAATATGCGAATATGCTAAGAAATAATCTGATACGATGAAGATAGTATGAGACTAGGCGAATATGTTTTTCTATGAGAAGTTATTCAAGCAGTAATATAACAAAATACGAATATATGCAATATAAGAACAATAAGAATATCCGAATATACGCAATACAAGAATATGAGAATATACGAATACCAGAAGACAAGACTATATTAGGAATAGAAGAATATAAGAGTATAAGAATATAAGAGTATAAGAATACAAGAATATCAGAACATGAAGTCGTAAAAATATCAGGAGTGGCACAAGAAGCTTAACCTCCCAAAATTCACGAACTCTTTGAATCCTCATACATTCCTAAAGGAATGTCGGCAGACCCGACATGGAAAAAACCTTGCAAAGAGGCAAGGACATTTGTCAGTGACAATCTTCGGGCGCCGGTTGCATTGAAGGATCGGTGAACCGTGCCATAGAGGCCCGAGGCAATGAGAGACAATCACTAAGATCTGATCCAGCCCGCCAGCTTCGGGGGCTCAGCACGAATTCCCGGCAAGACGCAGCGTCTGAGTTCCAACTGCTGCTCTGACCAAGGGGACCCCCAAAAAACGGGACCCCTGTATTCGGTCCGAGAGCCCTCGTCTTACAATCCAGGTATATTCAATGACCGAGAGGGGCTGTATTGAAAAGCGTCGTTTGGCTTGAGTTAAGTCCAAGCCCGTCATTGTGTAAGTAGGGTTACGTTCGCCTTCCAAAATTGCTGGCCACTTCATTATGTCCACCAGGCCCTGTTTGCAAATGCCACATAGGCTCTGAAACATGCATTCTCATTCCATGACTTGAGCTGCAACTAAATATGTCATCAAGTGTACAGCAAGAACGAACTTTATCCATAATATTTGTCAAACTCAGAATGCGAATCTATTGGAACGTTCGGAATAGGTTGTGAATAGCTATGCGAGCAAAAATGCCGACTACATTCCCTTTTCAATCATGCCCAAACCATACTCCATATAGAAGATTCCATCAGAAATGCACTTAAAGTCGGTTGACTTGAGTTGGAACAAAGTGCTACTTAGTGCGGTTGCCCTCCGGTCAATACTTGTCAAATTGAGGCCACAAAAACACAAATCTATTGGATTCCTACTAATATCTCCTTTGTTTGGATTCTAAATAAATTCGAAATACCATCGCTTGAAAACAATGCCCAAACCATACACGATATCGACATTCCCAGATGAGTTCTGAGGACAAGGCTGATTCGGAACAAGCCGTCAAGTGCCGTTCGCAAGAGATCCGGCCAGGAGACACCTGGGACACCTTTCTCACGAGTATGCCCGTGGAGCTGCCGACAGATCGCAGTGGTGAGTTGTTCGGGACAGGGCGCAAGATGTTTGGGGCTTCGGGGCGGGGGGGTCAGGCTGGTGACTGGTTCAATTCGTGGGTTGAGGTAGGGTATCCAGGTGTCACGTAGTTCGGGAGTCTGAGGCTCTACCACATCAATGGCAATGCCATCTACAATGTCCGTCATCCTTGGTTGCAGTTCTTGGCGACCAAGTTGGACGAAGATGCAGCCGACGCTGCAATGACCAGCAACTTGGTATGTGTATGTATATATATATACACATACACCAATATATACAGAAGTATGATATGATGAACAGATGGTTAAAGACATATATATATATATGTACACATATATACATGTACACATTCATATAGAAACAATAAGATACATTGGGGTCTGTGCGTTTCAAAGACGTGCGATGCTGGGTGTTGACACATGGCGCTGTGCCGAAGCTGTCTTTTCCGGTCACCTTGAGCAGGCAAAAAGCAAAAGAGAGCACTTGGGTCTTGGTGGGGCTGGTTGGGCTCGGGGTGTGCAGCCAGTTTCTCCCCAGGCTGCACAGAGCAAGAAGCCCGACAACTTCGTGGGGATTGCGGGTCGGTTTGGGGGGGCTTCAGTGTGACATTCTCAGGTATTGCCTTCGATGTCCGCATGGCGAACCTGAGCTACGAAGAGTTCGCAGGTGGTCAGGACAGTGTTCCCCGCGCCTTTTTCCTTGATGTCCTCTCAGGTTGTGAGAGTTGTTGTGAGGCCGAACTGAGGCTGAAGGCTCTTCGGAGGCTGTGAGACCTTGGGGTCGTGGGCCCTCAGATCCCAAGAGCTTGCTCTTACCCCGCACCCCGAAACCCATAACTCCCATCACCCGTACTGCATCTTCCCTTCTTGTAGAGTGTCTCGCTGCTGTCACTCCATGCATGGCTGGCAGTAGTTCAGCCATCACGGTGTGTATTTGCTGGGACCGTACGCATCTACTAAAGTTGCACGGGGGCATCCTGCCAGAAGGAACAACGGGCACGAAGACAAGGGTTCGCAACTAGTTCTCGACTGTGAGCCGAGTCTCAGGCGCTTGCAAACGTGACGTAGTCGTCGCCGCCGCGGAGCCGCGGAGCCTTGAAGCCTTGAAGCTTTATCCCCTAAGCCCGAAGCCCCAAGCCCTAAACCCTAAACCCTAAACCCTAAACCGTTGGCAGGACACGCCCTACAGGGGCGATTCCCTCCTTGTCGGAAACTATGCACAGACGCACCTTTGGCCTGACTAGTCGAAGTCGAGCCACGCACGCCAAAGAGGACGAAATCTGAATGGTTTCCGGTGTTCTTGTTTTAGTTCTAGGGGGTTTAGGGTTTACGGTTAGAGTTTAGGATTTAGGATTTAGGGTTTAGGGTTTAGGGGATCCAGGTCCCCTGCACTTCCAAATCCGGCAGGATCGGGGCACTAGTGTGGCTCTGTCATTAGACTCGGGGGGGGATAGGTTGGAGCGCACGCCTTGTCAGTGCTTTGGTTCGTTAACAAAGCACAGCAGTCTTTGTTGTGCAAGACATCTGCACGAAGGTAGGATCGACCTTTGCATGGGGAGATTTCCCGTCCTTGCTCTCTCGCTCTCTCTCTCTCTCTTTCGTTTTTTTTCCTTTTTTTTCTTTGTGTGTGTGTGTGCGGAGAACCAACAAAACAGAAAACAAAGCGAAACAAAGCAGTCTTGGACTCTTTTCAGAGGGCCGGCTCCCCAAAAGACTCGTGAGCTGTTGTGTTTGTTGGTGTTTAGGTTCTGCGGAGACATGCGCGTTTTCCGTCCTCGAGGCAAAGAAATGAAGAAGGGAAACAAAGCAATCCTTCCCCGGAGCGTACGAGAAGAAGACCCCGCTTCTTTTTCCCGAATGCGTGACAGAAGGGTTCCCGTTTCAATGGTTAGGGTTCCCGTGGGGGGCGCCATCTTCGTAGCTGTCCTCACTTTTGGAGCTTCGTTGTGCCTTCGCGCGCCAAAGCTGCTGACAGTTACGAGGATAAGTGCTGACGTCAACTGGGCTCATCGACGCTTCAAGGGGCAGGATTCTCGACAGAGAGGGACGGATTCCGGATTCCGATCCTAGAGAGTCTCATGCCTGTCAGGTCATGAAGCAGATTTCGCTAGCAGATGTGTAAAAACAGAAGAGCGAGAACAGGGCATGAGGCACGGAGACGACAGGACAAGAAAATAATACGAGAAGCAAAACAAAAGAAAGAATGCGAGAGAAACAATGAAAAAGAGAAATAAAGGGAAAACAGAGATGAGGGACGGTAAAGTACAGACAAGAAATCAGTTTTATCATTGGATGCATCAGCTCAGACTTCGTGTCGCACGTTACGTTTGCTATCTGCGCGGTGTACATGACTTGTGTCTGCATTTGGGTTCGTGGCCCTATAAGGTTTCGACGACACTCACGAAGACTGCGACACGCAGGGCCCCATGCCCGTGACATCGCGTAAAGCGTAAAGAGAGTTCTAGCAAGAGGAATCTTCAACAACATCGTGCTTACATTTTCATTTTCAAATAATATTAGTTGCCGTGGAACGTCAGTTTTTGGTGTTCCATGGTAAAAGCGTGCAATATGGATACTCGAACTTGAATATTTTCTTACAATCGGGATCAAAAAGTCAGCCGAGATTTTGTGTGAGAACGCTCGTGCCTTGCATGAGGGTTGAAGTTCAGCTATCCCTAGATCTTCTTGGTATTCTGTTGAATATACGAATAATTGTATCACATAATTGGACTGGTACTGTAACTGCTTAATAGTTCGTTAAGATCTTGCGCAGCTCAACTATAAATCTATTCTTGGGACATAGTGCCGTCCGTTATTTGAAATGGTATCTTAGCAGCATACAGTCTCGTGTTAATGCATGCAATCTGCAAATTTCACGAAGCTCAGCTTGCTTTATGAGATCACGGGTGGTGATCATATTCAGCATTGTATCAAGATCAAAAGTTACATAATGGGCTCATGAGACCATCATCGAGCTTAATTTGGGAATTGCCTAGTAGTTGGTGAAGATCTTGAATCAGTTTAGATCTCAAGTAAGCTCACCTACAAGCCTGCTTTTCATACGGTGGACTGAGGGTCTTTCATGAATTGAACTGGTATCCGCTATCCTAGTAGCATGGATGCTAAATGGACGATTTGTTTTTTTGGGACTTCGAGGAAGTCAGCAGAACACGTTGCTTCTTGAATGGTGCAGAAAATACTCGAGCATCTGGAAGTAGAGATGTTTTTTTGTTTTTGAAAATGAAGGACCTTTCGATGCTCGTGCCGCGAGGGTAGACTGCACGCCAAAAGTGAGAATCAACTACGGACATGAAACGTCGGGAGCGTGACCCAGTAGCTGTCTATTATTGTTCAAGATAGCCTTCTTCTCAGAAAGCAACCTATGTGTCGGTGTCTTGGTATTTTTTTTTCTTGGATGACAGTTAGATGTTTTGGGATTGGAGCTTTGCGCGCACAGGCTACGGTCCAAGGCTTGCTGCAATCAATCCATTACAGCGCGCCCCCAGTTCTACAAAGTAAGCCTCAAGCTTCGTCCAACCACTCCAAAAGCAAAAAAACACATCCCTACCCCACCCTCCGCCCCCGAAGAACCTTCTTTTGCGAAGTTAAAGGGATGTTTTTTGAGCCGAATGCCCAGGCTGCTGAACGACAGACCCTTGACTTTTCTTTGCCAATGGGGAGGTGGTTGTGAGAGTGTTTCGGGTTTAGGGGTTTGAGGTTTGTCAGGTTTAGGGTTTTATGGTTTTAGGGGGGATGATTCTGGGCCTGGCGGACGGTTTTCTGCTCTACTCTGGCTTGTTCTTCTTAGGGGCTTAGGACCTGAAGTTGTTGATCGGTGGCTTTAAGGCAGAGTGAGAAGCTCCACCTGCTGATCTTGCGTAATGTAGAGGCTTTCATCGCGCCGAGGCTTTCAAAGTGAGGAGTACATCCGCCATGGATCGCTCCAGAAGCTCGGCTGTCACTCTTGAGCCGCAAACATCCTGCAGAGCCCTAAGCCCTAAGCCCTAAGCCCTAAACCCTAAACCTCTCTACCATATAAACCGAAATCTTAAACACGAATTAGGGAATCGGACCCCCATTGTAGCACGAATTTGGGAATTTGATCCATTTCGGCCCTTCTGACCCCTTGGCCTCCCCCATTGTCAGCTGATCCATTTTGGCCCCCTCTGACCCCTCTGACCCCTCTGACCCCCCATTGTTTAGCACGAATTTGGGAATTTGATCCATTTTGGCCGGAGGGCCTATTTTTTTGGGTCTTTTTTCTTTTTTTTTGGCCTTTTTGTTTTTTTTTTGGTCGATTTTCTTGGTTTTTCCTAAGAAAACCACCATTCCCTCCATATTGTTAAAGGATTTGATGCATTTTCGTGGTTTTTGGTACGAAAAACAGTAATTTCTCTGTGGTTTCATAGGAAAGCGTTATTTCTGGTACGTTTTAGAAGGAAAGAAGGAAAGAAAGGAAGGAAGGAAGGATGAAAGAAAGGAAGAAAACAAGGAAGGAAGGAAGGAAGGAAGGAAGAAAGGAGGGAAGGAAGAAAGGAAGGAAGCAAGGAAGGAAGAAAGGAAGGAAGAAAGGAAGGAAGCAAGGAAGGAAGAAAGGAAGCGTGCTTCGAAGCCCAAGAAACTAGTTGAAAAACATCGTGTGAGCATTGTGTTTGCAAATGGGGGGGGCTGCGCCCCCCCCAACCCCCCCGCTTTTTTTGTTTTTTTTTAAGCCGTGCAGAGCGTGCGTGCTTCAAAGCCCAAGAAACTTGTTGACACCCATCATGTGAGCAGGGTGTTTGCAAATGGGGGGCGCAGACCCCCCAACCCCCCCGCTTTTTTTAAGCCGTTCAAAGCCCAAGAAACTAGTTGAAAAACATCGTGTGAGCATTGTGTTTGCAAATTGGGGGGGGGGCTGGCGCCCCCCGCTTTTTTTAAGCTGTGCAGAGCGTGCTTCAAAGCCCAAGAAACTTGTTGACACCCATCATGTGAGCAGGGTGTTTGCAAATGGGGCTGGGGCTGCGCCCCCCCCAACCCCCCCCCGCTTTTTTTAAGCCGTACCAAGCGTGCTTCAAAGCCCAAGAAACTAGTTGAAAAACATCGTGTGAGCATTGTGTTTGCAAATGGGGGGGG